CGTGGGGGGCGCGGCGACGAGGCGCAGCGGGGGGGGGGGGGGGGGGGGGGGGGGGGAAAGTCCCTCCAGTAAGTTCTGGGTCTGCGCTGGGAGCGTTCTGATCAGATTCCCAAACCACCTCATCTAAATCCTTTTGATGTGTAGGAGCAGCAGCTCTACTTTCAGAACGAGGCCTAACGGATCTCTCTCTCTTTCTTCCTTTCTCTCTCTCTTTCTTATAAACAGTTAATAACACCGTAATTAGATACTTACTACGAAACATTCTTTTTTTTTTTCTCAATAAGCAGTTATGGACAAGTTCAACGGGATATTTATGAATCACTTTTTTGCCAAAAGCAGCTTGTTTATCTCCTTTGTGGCTCTTTAACTGTTGCACTAGAACTGCATCTTATTTTGCTTTGTAAATGTAAGTATTAGTCATTAATGAGGTGAATGTTATTGCCGAGTGCTACTAAATAGCAATGCTTTAAAGGGTGACATTGGTTTTAATATAATTGCATTTTAATTCCTGCAGAGGTAACTGTAATCAACCCTTTAACTTTTCTGACTGGCCTTATAGATCAAAAATATTTGGCTCTGCTTAACAATTAACCTGTCATCCCCAAAGATGTTGACCCCGCAGTTTTGTTCTTCGCCGTCTGAGAATCAATAATTTGTGTCTAAAAATAGCCTCAGAGCTATTTATTAAATCTCCAACCTTGCTCTGGAAAACATGCAGCAGCTAGGAAACTCTGACTCGCATTTGCTTCTTTCATCACTGAGCATGCAGCAGGCAGAGTTCATTTAGGCTTGTTGGTTTATGTATTTATTACTATTTATTGTTGTTGACTCCCGGGTTCCCACAACCTCTCTTCCTTTTTTTTTTTTTCTTTTCATTTTCCTTTTCTTATAACTGCTGCAGCCTCTCCAATTTGTAGTGATGAACCAGATGCTCTCTGTCGTTCCAGTGATTTCATAAAATCAGTTATGCCATTGCGAAAAATAACAAAACAAAACATCTCCTCTTTTAGCCCAGCAGTTATTCCCCACATCCCATAGCAACCAGACCCACAGCACTGTTTGCCCTTATCTGTTTAGATATTTGTGCTGAAAAATGACTTGATTTTGTAAAATGCCAAATTAATACTTAGAAATTATGTTGGCTGTATGTCTCTTAAATATATATATATATATATATATATATATATATATATATATATATATATATATATATATATATATTTCAAACTCGATCATTCTTGCAGTAGTGTTTTACTGACTCTTAAATTCAACAAACCAAGTTTTAAGCCTTAAATACTCTAAAATATTTAGATATTGCGTACAAGGGCTGAAAATACTGTTGTTTTAAATGTGTCTATTGACAGATTTCTTTTTCCATCTACTTTTTCTTTTATTGCTCTAAAACCCCTTTCTGCTGAGGCTTGCTTGACATAAATGTGCACTATGAAGTTTACTTTATACCGTAAGAAAGATAAGGTTAGGTCAGTGAAAATATATCAACTAAAGTTGACAAATCGTATTTAACTTGATCAAGTTAATAAATATGTTTATATCTAATTCAGAAAGCCATTAAGTTGGCGTTTTGGTCCGTCTGTTTTGGTCCGTTTTGCCTTGGCTCATTTAAAGACGATATAAATTCCACCAATTCTTCGTATCGACCTCTGGGCCATTTGTCGCCTCTGCTGACTGGGCCGCTACCACGAAGCAGAGTGAAACACATGCTTTACACACTCACACATGCCCCAGCTCACACCGACACCAAACACCCGGGAGAGCTCAGGCGTGAAGACGTACAGCATCAGTCACAAAAAAAAAAAAAAAAAAACACACTTCCTCCTCAGCCACCCTTATGCACGTTTCACCTGCGCTTCATGGTGCTCCCTCAGTTAAAAAAAAAAATCAGACTGTTAATTGATAATCCTATTAGCACATGAAAGGCAACATCTGGCTTGTTCCAGAAGCAATCATTCTTTCATAGGGCAGTAATTTGTTTTCTGGATGAATGAGCATCCGTCCCGGTGAGGCGGCGGCCATGCGAGGTGGAGTTGCACTCCGACCTTCGTTAGGACGCAGTCTTTGCAGGCTGAATGTAAAAACACTCAGACTTGAGGAAAAAATAGACTTTTTTTTACTCAAACTTAAATGCTTCATATCACTAACCATATCCATCAAAAGGTTTTAAATGCCTTTTAGTTGGGTGAAAGAAATAGATTTCATTCTTTTTGCTGATTCGTGAACACTGACTAAGGTAAATGTGGTCTGTAGTGCTTCACATGTTCTGATTTTTATTTTTTATTTTTTTTGTGATCTCCTTGGTGAGTCAGTGGTGCAATCTTGGAGTAATTTTGGGAGTTGATCACTCTTGGGAAGATTCACCACTGAACACTGTTTTCTTGTTTAAGGATAAAGGACTTTAACTGCGGTTTTCTGTAGTTTCAAAAATGTTTTTCTTCTAAATGATGGATGTCAGTGACTTTGTTCACATCTGTACCTGAATGTCTTTAGACCGAGGGCATAGATTGTTGCTTTCTGAGATGTATTAACCTACTTCATGTTGTCAGATTGGTTCCATTTGACTGATTTGGGTGGGGCTTATGAAAAATTACCCAATAAGTTCCTTTCGGAGCTTGTAACTGCAGAAACATTCCAGTTTCCAACAGATTGAAAGGGTCAATATTTCTTCCTGCTCAGTTTCTCAGACTTAAAATACTGTCGTTCATCTCTTTTTTTTTTCCTTCCATCTTTCTTTTTTCTTTGGGTTTGTTGAAAGTGAACCAAAGCCGTAGGGGGGAGATGGCGTCAGAGCAATGACAAGAGCCATGGTTGAAAGAGAGACAGAGCGATGGAAGGGAGGAGAGTTGTGAGGATGACTGTGACTGGTGCTGGCTTTGCTGTGTGGAAGCTGAAGGACATTGGACACATGAAGGTTTTCTCTTCATCATTCCTCGCCACACATCTGCAAACCCCACCTACTTCCGATCTATAAGAAGATGCCTTGATTATCTTCTAGTGTCAGCTCTCACTGCCTTTTCGTTCTGTGCAAAAAGCTGGTTTGAATTTTTGAAGGAAATGCTTTGTCTTTCAGTTTTGCATTTTATTTTTTAGATGGCTTTCCATCTCATGCAGCTGCAACATTGAGAGGAAATTGCAGCATCATGTTAGACCCTCTTTTATCTATTTAGCTGATTCAGTCAAGTTGAATGTGCATCAAAAATGTCAGATGCAAAAAAAAAAAAAAAAAATTTAAAAACTCACCTCACATATTTTAACTCAGTTTCTCTGAAGTACATCCTACAGCAAATCCCCTTCAACATTTACCCCATCTTCAAGACTGATATTCTCTTCTGCTAAACATATTTAATTTTTCATCGGATGACCTTAAGGGGAAATCTTCTGCAAAGATATTCCTCGCTACCATCTTCAAGACTTCTACATTTCCTGGATTTCCCCTCCATCCGGAGGTTGTTTGAGCAGACTTTCCTCTCTCGCGGATGCAGACTGAGTGATGAAACACATGAGAGGACGAGAGCAAAGAGGCGCAACTCACCTCAGACTGAGCGATGCTGACGTAAAAGATGCGATATCCTAGATCCCCGCTTGTGCCCCTGCATGCCCGTTTCCCTCAGCGGATTAGAGGCGAGCTGGAAGAGGAGGCTTTTCCATGGCAGAAGTTGAGAGGACGCGGAGGCATGCGGAGCAGCGGCGGCGGCGGCGGCGGCGGCAGCAGCTGTTGGGAGTACTTGTCGCACATCCGCGTCCTCTGATCCTGTGGCGTCCGGACTGAGTCAACACTCCTCTGCCCCTTCGCACCGTGCCGATTGCTTTCACTCACTCACGTCTGAATGCATGCACGCTCACACTCGCTCACACACGCACACACACTCTCACACACACGCACACACACGCACACGTAGGGACGCTCACGCGCGCGCGCTGTAGCTGAACTCCGGACACCTCAGTGGCGGATCCCACGCAGGCAGAATATCCCCATCATGCCGTCGCAGTTCCGCTGTCTGGCTTTCTCCTCTTTTTCTGTGTGTCTGAGTGTGCATGAAGGTGGGTGAGAAACACACAGAGAGGGAGAGAGAGGGAGAGAAAGAGAGAGACGGGGAGAGATTAAGTGAAAAGGGGAGGGAGTATGGGAAGCAGAGTTGGAGGGAGGAGGGAAGGTTGCGATCTAGAGCTCCAAGGTTTGGCTTCATCTGGCAGCTTCATAAAGTTCCAGGTGATCACGATAAGTTTTTCGTAGTTTTATTTTTGCTGTACTTTTACAAAAAAATGTATTTCTTACGTCGTACCTTTCGGGCATCTCTGCATCAAAGACAGCAGCAGATGTGTTCTTGACGTGCCGGTCTTCATGCACACCTGTGTCTTTAATTCCATTGTGTTGCCCGGCATCTCCATCGAGCCGTGCCTGTCAGGTGGGATCATTCTTCGGAGTTTCATTACAAGACCGTTCACCTTCTGTCAACTCACTTTTTCCAAGTCCTTGGAGCTCTTCTCCTTTTGTGTGGGAAGACGATTCCATCTGCTTGTCCCTCGCTCTCTGGAGCTCGTTTGCCTGATCTCTTCTCAGCTATTTATCCATCTGTCATAGGCGAGGCAGTAGTTAGCGCCTGTTTGTTCACAAGGAAATCTGTTTTTCTTTCCAAACCTACTTAGATTTTGTAGTGTGCCATAGATGGAATGGATTAACAAATGGATTCTTCGACAGGAAAGGGCTGGCATTTGAATAAAAAAACAAAACAAAAAAAAACTTCAAGATGTGGAAAAGTATGGAAAAGGAAATTAGAGTGTGGAAAATGTTTGTATTTTCAGATTTTATTCCCTATTCACTGGTTCAAAATATGGGATTAATAGATCTATCGCTCCTTCCACTCATTCATTCATCGTTCTTTGATTCATCGGTCCATCTGTTTTTACATACATCCTTTCGTCTGTTCATCCATGGATCCATCTCTTCATCCATCCATCTATCCATCTGAACTAAATGGAACTTAATTGATTCTGACCATTTGTGTTCATGCGACTCCATTTTGAGATTTTAAACATGCACAACCAATACCACACCAATATTCCTCGTTGAGCCAGTGCAGATGAAGGGCCCTGAACAACAGAAGGCCTGCACTCATACTTAAAGCCAGATCACTTAACTTTACAAAGTAGATTTAAAAAAAAAAAAAAAGATTTCAAAACTTTGAGAAGCAAAGTGGTTAAAAGTTTTCATTTTGAAATGAAAACTCGATATGAACCCTAAAACAAAAGGAGGAAGAAGGTTAAATTATCCCCCCCACTCCATAAAATCCTAATCACATCAGAGTGGCTGTGTGAGAAACCAGCTGACTCTTTTGGAGACGGCGCTGTCCTTCTGTGTCGGGGAAAACCCGAGCTCTGCTGGAAGCCTCAGGTCTCATGATAATGAGCTGCGGCTCTACAGACAGCAGCTGCTACCGAGTGTGTATGCGTCTGTATATGTGAACGACTTCATAGCACTACTTAACAGAACAGCAGACAGCTTCACAGCTTTCCTTCAGCAAAGTATTAGATCTTTCACCTCTCAGAACCTGTGAAGACATTGTGTGTATTATTAGTTACAGGGGCAGAAATAAAGCAAACTATCTCTAATTGTTGGATCTTCAATGTGCTTTTTATAGTCGTTTATGGTTGGCTTGTTCTGTAGCCCCATTTTTAATCAAATCTTTTGTCAGCTCCTTTATTCAGTCTATTAAAATTATATATTTTTTTGATTGCTTTTTTTATAATTGCTGCTTTCTTGTTTATCAAAATAATCATACAAACTAGTTTTGAAGAAAGGTAGACTCTGGGAGGAAACCGTTTTCAAGGTCAGTGATTCCCAATCTGGGGTCCACTGAGGGGTAACAATGGGTTCCAGGTTATGCTTAATATGGTGAAAACACTTAACTTCATTTAAATATTTGATCCTGGAGATAAAATAACAAAAAACATCAAACATTCTTACATATTTTTTTTTTTAGATATACTAGACTTAAAAGTGAAATTTTCCTAAAAAAAAAAAAAAAAAAAGGCTTTATCTGTAAAGTCTGCCGTTTGCAGTCTTCTGATCGATCACAGGTCTTTAAAAAGCCAGACCTTCCAATTCTGATATTGGTTAATACCATTTTTTTTTTTTTTTTTTATAAATATATGCATATAACTGGCACTGTCAGGTGTTAGAGGACAACAGTACACTTTCAATTTTCCAATCTCATTTTATTTAAAAGCACTGAGCAATACACATGAAACAACACAAACTTGTTTTAGCTGCACGTGAGGTACTTCTCTCTAATATGAATAGTTTAGAGCGGTGGTCTCAAACTACATTCCTCGAGAGCCAGAGAAAAGTCTATCTTAGAAGTCTTCACATTTTTTTTAAGCTAAATTTCTTCTCCATCCATTGCTTCTGCTGTTCAGGAGAGTTCATATTTAACATAATTTGTGTTGGAGAAAACGGCTGTCGGTGAGATTATTTTCCATGTTTCTGTTTAAAGGCAGGCAACAGAAGCTAACTTGTGTGCAAAAATAGTTTATTCAGGTCCCAGAGCCATGGAGAACAACAGAGCACACATTGACTAAGCGGACGTCTGGTATCCGCAGGCGTTGGAGACCACGGCCGCTTGTGAATAGCAGAAATCTGCAAATACTTGACCAAGTGCAAAACTCAAAGGAGCTTTCAAGATCAAAAAGAAATTTGTTCCTGAGTTATTGTTTGCCAGGTGCTTAACAGTGCACAACACGGTTGTATCAAACTGGCTGCTTATTTTAGACTGACAATAACACATCCACCTCAAAGCTTTGTTATTGCGCTGCCAAGCAGCAAGAGGCTGCAATTTTAGCACAGGAGAAAACTGAATATATTCAGTAATAATGTGACAGTGGCAATGTCTGGTATTTTACTACCCAAATTGATGTCACTTTTTAATGGCTATAAATTGCCGTCCTTGTTAAATATCATGTGCTTTAATGTTTTTTATTCCTAAACCAGGCCTACCTTTGTTCCTTTCTATAAAGACATTTCCACCTTGCACTTCTGACAAATGCCATTCATTTTTAAGGTGCAACTGAAATACTGCTCAAGTTTTCATTGTCTTTTTGCCGAAAGCTTGTTCTGCTTTCATGCTAACTTTTACTTTTTCTATTTCTTGGAACAAAATTTGCAGTAGTTGCCAAAAAAAGAGGAACATTGTTTATTTTCTCAACCATTCTCAATTGCAAATATTTGCATTTCCTCCCTTGCGAATATTTGCATTTTTAGTTGACCCGGGTTTGTTACCAGTCTGTCACATCAGCTGCTTTGAGTGTATTCAGCCACACAACATGCGCGAGAAAGTTGACTGTCATTTCTGTGTTGAGTTGGATTCCTCGAAGGAGACGAGAGCTGTCAGTTTATTCTGGCCTGGTAGCGCAGCAGTCATAGGAGAGAAAAAGGAAGAGATTTTTTTTTTTAACCTTTTTTCTGCTGTGTGTGTTTGAGAGAGAGCGTGTGTGTGAATTTAGAGGCTGATCTGGTGTGTCTGTTGTGCAGCAGCAATGCCACAGGAAGTCTCTGCCACTGACAAGAAGCCGAAAACGTGTCCACCAGATACGTCAGAGGGAGTGTGTCCCTTTCTGCTGCAATTCCTAAAGGTCTTTTCATCAAAACTACACCAAAAGAGGAATTTAAAAATCTCTTAAGGGAGGGCTTAAGCATATTTACCAAAGTGTGAACTTTGACTGGGCCATGTCAGCACAAAAATATGCACTGAGCTACCTACATTGTAGCTCTGGATGGGTTGCTTTCTTCTTGGAGGCAGAACCTTTCCTCCAGTCTCAAGTTTTCTGCAACTGCTAACACATTTTTCTTATGGGATTTACCTGTATTTAGCACATTCTATCTTAAATCTTTAAATGTATCCAAATGGTGATCACAGAAGTATATTTCGATTACAAACCAAGTACCTGTGTCCTGTTTTTTTTTTTTAAGAAAGTGGCATTTTATCAAATGCGTTGTCTTTCCTTGGTGCTAGCTTACAAAAAAAAGAAATATGGATTTCAGTTTTTGTCAAATTATTAGTAGAATACCACCTGCATACAAATTGCACAGGCAAAGAATAGAAAGGGATGGAAGAACAGCAGCCCTTGAGCACTTCTCGCACTGGCTTGTAAAATAGAGGCAGAGCTGACACATACAATACACTGCACTTGGCCACTTGTGCATGATTCAGCAAACCCACTTGGCTCCGACATGAGGCCAACAGAAAGGCAGCGAGAGCCCTCTTTCCATTCAATCGAGGAGGGAACTTGTCAGAGGACAGGTAAAACTATCCACATGCTGTTTGTTTGTTTTTTTTTTGTTTGTTTTTTTAGCAGCAGACATCTTTACGCATTCTCATTTCAAAAGAGAAAACTCTGGTTTGTATCGATTCCTGATATCTTGCGGTGTACGGAAGCTTTGAAGGGGCATTTCACACCTCCTTGGATGAATTCATTATGTTTACCTTAACAGAAACACTCACCTAAAGAAACTTTAACATGTGCAATCGAGCGAAGGACATTTTTCCTTCACAGCAAAGCTCGTATGCTCGTCACCAAGCGGGAATCTTTGACTGGAGGGGGAAAGAAGTTACTCACCAATCCTATCAGAATGGCAGACAGGGTGGATTTACCGGAGCATGAGGGGTTTGTGTGGGTCAGTTAATGCACTCTAACATTTTTCACTAATTAAATAAAGCTATTGTTGCAGAGAAATGTCCACATCAAGAGATTTACTGTGCTATGAATTCAACATAATACGTGGAAGTAGAATTTTTGTGTTTTTATGTTTGAGATCTCTTGTGGTTTCAGATCAAACCAAACAATATTTATTAATAAAGATAGTCAAATATTGACTTCAATTGTTAATGGAAGGAATATGCACATCCCCACAATCTCCCTCTCCCAAAAACATATTACATTAGGGTTACCCCTTCTTCTTTTATAAATTTCCTGTGTGCAATCATTTATTCACACAAGTATAGCTTCCTTCCGTTTTTTTAAAATATCACATCACACGTGTAAAGAATTCTGTCTGCACGTCATTTCCTTTC